ATATGTACCAATCAGCTTTAAGATTTTGCCTTCGTTTTAGATGCCAGTAAAACCATACACTAACGTTCCTGGTACGTAAGTAGAAATGTTTCTTTGATCTCGCAATGCCCAATTGCCTTTTTTTTCTTCTTTTTTTTTTTTTATTGATAATTGACCAGTATTTTAAATCATGAATACATCAATATATAAAAGCCGCATACTCAAATAGAAATTCCAATCGCAAAATGAAAAACAGAATCACCAGATTAAATCACGGGAACGATCATCCAATCGGATGCTCAGATTTTGTACTACATTCCTAGTACAAATAGGGTCAACATATCATTCCTGGAAAATTCTGTAAAGAATGATATTGTATCAGACAGCAAAAAATAGTCAAAAGCGCAAAATTCGAAGATTATATAATAAATTATGATTGGCCAAGTTTATATAATTGGGCAAATCATGTAAATTATTTATATATTAAACGGCAAATTTTTAAAATATATGTAAACTTTAAACTGTCAGCTTTTAAAATAATAAATAAAATAAAAATCTATTTAACAGAATTATAGCTTGAATAAAAAGCAACAAATATGTAAGAGTGATTTTTTTTTTTTTAAATTTATTGATCTTGAGTTATAACACTTTCATATTTTATATAGTATAAAAATTGAATATTTTTTTGCTGCCCGGCACTGTATCAGAAACTGGATCGTCATTATTACTAGGTAAATGGAAACCATTCAAAGTCCGAAGGACCAAATATTTAATTTATATATTATACAGTATATATATATATATTTGACTATTAATAAACGTGTCAGTTTGTTTTTATATTACGCCTGATCTCGCCAATAAACGTTAGGTTCGGTTGTTTTTTTTAAATTTTTTACGTTACACCTGATCTAGCCAATCAGGTTTCAGAATTTGTTAACACACGGACATCGGGTGTACTATTGACCTACCCAGTAGTGTCCTTCGGACAATTACACTACAGTATACGTATCTGGAAAGAATACTGAGTTAATCTGCATTAAAACCTCATGCATAATAGATGCCTTAAACCCATGAAACTGTCAAAAGATATGCACAGTTACTTCCGGAATAACATATGGATCTCTCCTGTTTCAAAATAAGTACTTTACAGCATCGCATGCTTACATATATCAATATTATCAATATATGAAGATTGATAATGATTATTACGGGTTCATTACACGGTTACTTGTTTTTTTTTTTTTTTGATATTTCTGTAGATTGCTGATTGCTAAAAAGGTATATATTAAAATCTGATTATTTTTATGCGATTCAATGAAATTTACTTATCAAGTAAGAAATAGTTTGAAACATTTCTCCAGGACCAAAGTAGCAAAATAATAATAATAAATAAATAAATAAGATAAAAATTATACTAAGAGCGAAATATATTCTTGAAACACGGATGTAAGGACGTGCCAGATTTTAGTTATTATTGATACAATCAGACCTCCCTAAATGCTTGATAACATGCATTTAGAGAACAATAAGAAAATTTGCATTTATGAAGGTTAGAAATATATCTTGGTTATAGTTTGAAGTTGAGGTATTGCATCTAAGGGGTTGCATTTAGGGAGACCTGACTGTATTAGAATTTTCGATTTTTGCAAAAGAATAAACATCATAAAATCTGGTTTCTTATAAATATGACTCTATGAACTTTCTACCTTCCAAGTAATCGCTAAACATTTCGCATACAAGATAATCACAACAATCATGAAAAATATTTTTATTTCAGCTCTTGCCTTCGCTATTTTATCGCTCGCTATTTTATCGCTCGCTTTTGCAAAACCTACTCCAAGAATCATGGTCGGAACATTATTTAAAAGATCGGGCCTGGTTGAAAGACAGGACAACACTACTTGTTTATGCCCTCCTACCAACGTACCATGCGATTCTCAAAATCTATGCCCTGCCACTGCTTGTGAAGCTGATGATCCACCTTGCGGTAGCGGCTGCTGTGAACAAGGATCAATTTGCAGTTCAAATGCTAATGGTCCGGTTTGTATAAAAAATGCATAAGCAATCAAGTTAAAGAACTTTTTTATTGTATATTTAACTAATTCGAAAAGGAAACATTAGTAGTACAATTGTTAACATTTACATTTAGAATATTTTGATATTATTTTCATAAAAAAATTTTTTTTTTTTTACTATCATTTTCTACTTGTTATTTTATCTAAATTGTTTATTAAATTGTTCTTGTCTTGTATTAGTTTGTGCTTAATTTATTTTCTCCCTCCATGGATTTTTTTTATTTTAGCATTTTTTTTTAAATAAATAAATTAAGGAAGCAGGCATTTTCACACCTGATTTCGGTATTTTCACCCTTAAACTGCATATATATTTACAAAGTATTACGTATCTCTATTATATTACAATTTACAAATTAACAAATATAAAAAATCTATAAAGTACGGAACAGATGCGGAGCAAAACTACTATACCTAATAGATCGTCGGTATCGATCCTGATTATAGATGCCTGATGAAACTATTTTTGCTGTTGACGAAACCATGGTCACGTGTGTTCGTCAGGCATCAGCAAGTCTTGAATGTGTTACAGGTTATGCTAATTGATCATAACAAGCAAAAAATTTTTTTGTATATATCATAAATACTCGATTACATTAGCAATAATAACAATTACTATATGTACGTACATAATTTGGAATCAATTTTTGATCAATGTCATTGTCGCGCCGATGTAATCGAGTATTCAAGTATTAAACAGTTTTTAAATGTTAGGGTTAGACAGGGATGAGGTAGAAAGATGAGTTATGCAGAATCTATACCAAAATTATGAGTAGAATCTTTTTTCTTAGAGCACCAAGAACGGTTTCATAGGCAAAATTTTGAAATAAAAAAAAATTTCTTAATCTTGTCGATCAACCTGTCACACATTTTAGACATGCCAGGTATCATTAATCCTTGATGAGTAAAAAAAAAATAATAATAATAATATAAAATCTATTTGCAGTAGCATGACGCTGTGTGTTAGATAGTCAATAGAAATTGAAGCAAACTATCGTTATAATGCCCTTAAAAATTGAAATTCAAAATTTAAAGAGGTTAAAAGTAATATCTATATTCAACGGTTAATATAATAGCAAAGTTTCTATAATACAATTTTATATAACTTTCAAGTTTAGCACTTAAAAGCAAATATCTAGAGTTTGGCGTCACTCTAAATTACTTATTTGGGAAATTATGGTTGTATTAATGTTTAAGTTTGGAAATTGATCTTTCACAAAATTTCTTTTTTTAGTACTTTTTCGTTATGCAAAAAAACAAAACGTTGTATATATATTCTCTACTTGCACTAATAAATGCTTAAGAGCAGTGCATCGAAGCACTGCGCTACTAGCTAAATTGCATTCAAAAATTTTTGCTTATCGAACAGCAGTTATATATATGTATAATTCCAAATAAAGATTAAAAAGGAAGTTCATTATTTATGACTGCATTAAAAAAAAATTTTATTAATACATCTATTACTAAAACAGAAAATAATTGCTTGACTTTTTTGGGAAAATAGATCAATTATTACTTCTATTTTTATTCTTATCGAACAAAACAAGACTTTTCCCATTTATTGTCTTTATTATTAACAACTATATTTAACCCGGGGCAAATTACCTTCCCTAATTATTTATATGGTTAGGGTTAGTAGAGACAAAATGGGAGTTCTGGCACAATTTTTGTTACCCTATATCAATCTTGCATATAAATTCGCTTTTGCAT